GCCCCCCGAATTTGGAACTCCCGCCCCAGGGAGAATAGGCAGGTCCCCACACTGTCCTCCTTTTGTAGAGATTTGAAAACCTGGATGTTCCAGCAAGTTTTCGAGAATGATTAGTCCCTAGGCCCAGTTCCCAGGTACACAGATAGCACTCGTTCCTACACTTCATGCACTTCCCTGGCTCTATGAATACCTGTTTGCACTATCCCATGCCCAGTTCTTTTATAGTTAGCCATGCCCATCTGTAACCCTGGCCATTGGTTTTGTTAAACCTCTACTGATGAAGCCAAAAGGAAATGGGTTTTTAATATTTTTATTTTTAGTGTGTTTTAGCAGGGTTTTTTTTCTTGTATTTTTATGATGTTTTAAGTTGTTATTATTTTGTCTGTTAAGTTTAATTAGGTTGTGTTGTATTATCTAATATGTTTAGCTTGATGTAATTGTACGGTTTCTTTCCAGCAATTGAATGTTTGCCTTACATTTTGGAAACTGCCCTGAGTCCCTTTGGGGAGATAGGGCAGTTCACAAATAAAGTTATTATTGTCGAAGGCTTTTCATGCCCGGAATCACTGGGTTGTGAGGGTTTACCTCTGAGAATGCTTGCCATAGATGCAGGTTAAACGTCAGGAGAAAATGCCTCTAAAACATGGCCATATAGTCTGAAAAAACCTACAACAACCCAAAGTAGTAGTAGTAGTAGTAGTAGTAGTTATTATTATCATCATTATTATTATTATATTTACTTATTTCATGCATCCTGAAAAGCAAGAGACCCATCTTGCTAGCAATGAATTTAAATGTGTTCCTTCACAGCACTGACAAGATATTCCTTGCACCCAAGTAGGATGATGAATTGACTTTGGATTTTACTCTGAACCTTAAAGGAGCTACACAAGTTGCAGAATTATTTCTTCAAAATGATTCATAGGATTGTGCCCTGGCACTTAAAACAGAATCACATGACTATAACTGTGCCCTGTGAAAGGTCTGAGAATCCAAATAAAATTACAGTGTACAAATAAATATTTTTTTTTAAAAAAATACAACTTCTTCCATACTTTTTTTCTTAACTGAGATCACACATTAATTGAGAAGAGGGGAAAGAGAGACAAAGTAGCTATTCCATGTTTCCTGCTTGTTAATTAAATGGTCTTGTTTCTCAATAGCAACTCCTGCCTTAAAGGAATCTCATTCCTTCATTTATGCCCAAAATGAGATTCGAGACAGTACATCAATGCATATTTCCCACATCAAGAAATATACATATAACACATGGCTACATCTCTGCAATTACAATTCTCCCACAAATTCTCATTTTGAGCATCCCAGCATTGTTAAACATGCCCATTTCTGTGTCACTGGAAAGCGGAAAAAGTGTGTAGACAAAAACAAGCTGTTTTCCTACAGCTAGGATCACTATGAGAGGCATCTACAGGGACCTGTGGATGTCCTCAGAAGGTTCCTGAAGATGACACCCTCACAACACCTCCAATCACAGGTAAATACTGTATATACTCGAGTATAAGCCTAGTTTTTCAGCCCCTTGTTTAGGCTGAAAAAGTTCCCCTCGGCTTATACTCGAGTCAAGGTTTTTTATTATTTTACTCTGCTGTTATTAGTATTTTATTACATGTATTATTTTACTCTATTTATTATTATTACATTTATCAATTTATTATTATTGTTGTTGTTGTTGTTGTTGTTGCATTTATTATTTTATCCTATTACAGACATGGGCAAACTTGGGCCCTCCCTCCAGGTGTTTTGGACTCCAACTCCCACAATTCCTAACAATCGTTAGGCTGTTAGGAATTGTGGGAGTTGAAGTCCAAAACACCTGGAGGGAGGGCCCAAGTTTGCCCATGCCTGCTCTATTATTACTGTTATTACATTTTCATTATTTTACTCTATTATTATTATTACATTTATTATTGTACTCTTTTTATTATTATTGGAAGGATACGTCAGCACATTTACATTGAAGAAGGTTAGAATAATGGTTCAATCAGAGGTGGACAGTCTTATCTAAAATTACAGTTTTATGTAAATATTCAAAAACATTTCACCTACTGATGCCTCAATTAATGTAATTTTATTGGTATCTATTTTTATTTTGAAATTGATCCATAGCGGCTGCCTTTCCCACCCTTGGCTTACACTCGAGGCAATACATTTTCCCAGTTTTTGTGGTAAAATTAAGGGCCTCAGCTTATATTCGTGTCGGCTTATACTCGAGTATATCCGGTAGTTGGTTGTGTTTCCACTCCTCCCTCAAATCTTGTGGGGAGAAGAAGTGATTATGTTTGAGGGAAATGAGTCATTTAGAAGGTGGTTTGGGAACAGAGTTGGTTGCTGTATGGCCAGTAGAGAAGTCAGATCCCTGCAATGACCAAAACTGTAAAATATAAAAGGTATATGTTTGACTTAACATGACCTTAATTTACCAAAAATATTTCATATATTTAGATTAGGAGATTATAACAGAATTAAATGAGTTATTATTATTATTATTATTATTATTATTATTATTATTATTATTATTATTTCTTTCCCGCCTCACAAATACATATATTAAAACGTACCTCTATAAAGACTGGATTAAAAGGAATTGAAAAAAGCACCCTGATAAACACACATGCAGACATAATCAAAATTGTCATTTCAGCAGCAGAAAGAGCAGATTGCCAGGTTTTTTTCCAGCTGTAAAGCCCTGGGGTGCTTGGTCAGAAATGGCCCCAGTGTTCAAGTAACAAGTAGCCCTCACATCACAACATTGAGGATTTGTCCAAATTTACTATACAGTCTTTGTGAAAATCTTTATATTTCTTTAAATATAAAGATGATATGAAGAAATCATTTCAGTTCCTTATGTATATGAACTATTGAAATTATGAATAAAACCCAACATATTGTGTGCCTAGTTAAATTAATGCACTCAAAATTTCAAGTTTTTGAGAACAGTCTAAAAATTGCCAAGACAGAGAGAAGTGCACTTGCGCATTATGTAAATATAGCTTGATTATCTTCCATTTAGGTATTTGATTATAGGGTCCTTCTCAGTGGCTGCTCCCAGGCTGTGGAATAGCCTGGTACACTCTCTGGTGAATGCTCCTTCTTTGGAGGCTTAAGCAGAGGCTGGATGGCCATCTGTCAGGGGTGCTTTGAATGCGATTTTCCTGCTTCTTGGCAGGGGTTTGGACTGGATGGCCCATGAGGTCTCTTCCAACTCTAGGATTCTCCTTCCACCAGGCATTCCATTATTAACTGTGGCAAGGAGTCCTGCATATGTGTGTGCTATGTTTTTCATTTTCCTATATTTTAAAAACATTTTACACTTTGTAAACATGGCCAGTATTTAATATACCTTCTTTGACTGTGTTTTAACTTTCCTTTACCAGTTTTTAAAGTTTTGTGCTGTTTCAATATTTTTTTCATGCCTCCTTGGATCCTGCACTGTGGAAAATGTGAGCTATAAATAAGATCTATATAAATAAAAATGTAATGTTCGTTTGTGGGATTAAGAGAACTGAAAAACCACTGGACGAATTGACACCAAATTTGGACACAAGATACCTAACAACCCAATGCATGTCCCTCACTCAAAATAATTGATTTTGTCATTTGGGAGTTGTAGTTGCTGGGATTTATAGTTCACCTACAATCAAAGAACATTCTGAACCCCACCAACAATGGAATTGAACCAAACTTGGCACACAGTTCTCCATGACCAACAGAAAATACTGGAAGGGTTTGGTGGGCAGTGTCCTTTGGTTTTGGAGTTGTAGTTCACCTACATCCAGAGATCACTGTGGACTCAAACAATGATGGATCTGGAACAGGCTGGGCGGTTTCGTTCGTTAATTTCGTAATTCGTTATTAATTCGTATTTAAATTAGCTTACGATCCGATATTGAGCCATGCAGGAATAGTGTGAGGAGTAATTAAAAATCGAAACAATTTTTCCAATTTATTTCATATTGTTTCGTAATTGTTTCATAATTGGTTCAAAATTGTTTCGAAATTGTTTCGCAATTGTTTCGTAATTATTTCCGTATGTCTGGTGCAAGTTTTATAGTTGTTGTTTGTTTTATCAGTGATAAAAAATAAATTATCACACCAACAGTCAACAACAGAGGGAGAGGGAAGCTTCAGAAGTTCCCCCTGTCCCATTTGGAGGTTTTTTTAGCATATTGCGCAATCGCGTCCGCCATTAACGAATCGATTCGAAATTAACGAAATTTCATAAATAACGAAATTTTGAAATCTCAAAATTTCGGAAGTATTTAGAATTTGGAAACGCTAGCGCCCCCTGGAAACGAATCGAGTTTAGAAACAAATTTTTCCGTGGTTACCCAGCCCTAATCGACCAAACTCTACACGAATACTCAATATGCCCAAATGTGAACACTGGTGGAGTTTGGGGGAAAATAGAATCTTGACATTTGGGAGTTGTAGTTGCTGGGATTTATAGTTCACCTACAATCACAGAGCATTCTGAACCCCACCAATAGAATTGGGCCAAACCTCCCACACAGAACCCCCATGTGGGCCACAGCAACACGTGGCAGGGGACAGCTAGTCTATATAAATAAAAATGTAATGTTCATTTGTGGGATTAACAGAACTGAAAAACCACTGGACGAATTGACACCAAATTTGGACACAATACACCTGTCAGGGCAATGAGTAACCATTACTCATAAACATACCAGAAAACACAGCAGAAGGAACTTAAAAAGTAAAAAAAAACATTACAATACATCCACAAACACACATACATACACAAATATACACGCACACATACACACACACACACATACACAGACTGGGTCACAGCAATGCGTGGCAGGGGACGGCTAGTATGTAATATTTAATTTATATCCCACTTTTCTTCCAATACGGAACCCAATATCTTGTGAACATATTCCGCTCCTGAGTGAATTATAACATCCTGTCAATTCAGACATTTTGTTTGTCTGTGTTCCTTCCAGGCACGTCAACGGCAAAGGATATTTCCACAGAACATAGTTGGGTCACGGCCGCTGTTCACCAAACCACTCTGCTCCCCTTCTCCTTTCATCCTTCAAACCTCTTCTGGGAATTCATTAACATCAAGTGGGAATTTCTAGCCATCAACGAAAGCATCGCAATCCTTGTGTACATGGTGGAAAATTGCAGCCAGGATAGCATATCCCACCATTGGTGGGACAGGGATTGCACCATTATCAAAGAAATAAATGATTCATATAAGCAATGGGCTGATATCCTCAGGAATGGTACTCTGAAAATTCACCCTGTGCAGATAAAGGATGCTGGGATATATCAAGCAACCATATTAAGCTCAGGTGCAAGAAAACACACAGCAATTGTAAATCTTACAGTAACTCAAGGTAAGGGGGCAGAAGAGTGTGTGAAGGAATGTGTTGTGTGCCTTCAAGTTTTTCCCAACTTATGGGGATCTTGAATTGACTGTCTTATGAAGTTTTCTTCGCAAGATTTGTTCAAAGAGGGGTTGCCTTTGCTATCTTCTGAGGTTGAGAGAGTGTGAGGTTTCCATGGATAAATGGGGATTTGAACCCTAGTCTCCAATACTCATAGTCCAATGCTCAGAACATTATACCATGTTGGCTCTATGTTTGTTTGTGGGTGGGTATGTGCCGGCTTTCTGATTGGCTGCCACTTCCACAGGCCACTGCGACCTGCAAGAGTGGCGGAGCTGTACCAAACTTGGGACACATAACCCCCATGACCTGTTTTATTTCCTAGAGTGATTTGGGGGAGGGTGAGCCACGGATGAGGGGATTTTGAGTACTTTCCATATCTTCAACTCCCACAGACCACTGTTACCCCCACCAATGACAGATCAGGGCTAAACTTGGCATACAGAGCCTCCATGACCCACTCTACATCCTGGTGCAGTTTGGAGTAGGATGGACCATGGATGATGGGACTTGCAGTACCTTCACTCACTTCCTGAGACCACTGCAACCCACCAATGACTGATCAAGACCAAACTTGGCACACAGAACACCCATGACCAACTCTACATCCTGGTGTTGTTTGGAAGAGGATAGACCATGAAGGATGGGACTTGCAGTATGTTCATTTACTTCATGAGACCACTGCGACCCCCAGCAATGATGGATCAGGACCAAACTTGACACACAGAGCCCCCATGACCCACTCTACATCCTAGTGTGGTTTGTGGGATGATGGGCCATGGATGATGGGACTTGCAGTACCTTCACTCAATTCCTGAGACCACTGTGACCCACACCAATGATCGATCAAGACCAAACTTACTACACAGAGCCCCCATGACCCATTCAACATTCTGGTGCAGTTTGGAGGAGGATGGATAATGGATGATGTGACTTGCATATGGGAGTTGTAGTTCACCCGCACCCACTTAACCCAGCCGACATTGGATCTAGACTAAACTTGGAGCACAGACAAAACAATGCCTTTCTCAAATAATCAGACCTGGTGCTTTAAGAATATATAGGCAGCAGCTACTCAGAACAGTATCTAGAAAAAAAAGTGTGAGCTGAAATACATTTTTCAGAAGAGTTCTAAGTGAGCCCTCATCTATCTACACTGCTACATTACATTTCCCTCCCATTCTGCTGTCTATTCCCTTCTTCACATGCAGGTTCAGGAGCCTTGAGAAAATTTAACACAGAGAATATGGTTCGAATGGTCTTGGCCTGCCTTATCTTCTGCTTTCTTGGACTAGTGGTGATGGAGGTAAGTGTTGCATTCCAGAGAGTGGAAAAAGCTACTGTTTTGGACTACATCTCCCCGAATCACAGACAGCCAGTGAATTCTGGCTTGCTGTCATCGCCAAAAGTACTGTAACTTTCCGAAGACTTGATAATTAAGATGGCTAATTAGTAAGGTGGTGCAATTGATGAAAAAATGTTTCAAAACTAATTAAAAAATTAGCTGGGGCCAGTGTTTCATTTCTAAAGTGTTCCTAAAGTGTTGTTAGTGAAAATTACATTACTATAAAGGTAAAGGTAAAGTTTTCCCCTGACATTAAGTCTAGTCGTGTCCAACTCTGGGGGATGATGCTCATCTCCGTTTCTAAGCTGTCCATAGACACCTCCAAGGTCATCTGGCCAGCATGACTGCATGGAATGCCATTTCCTTCCCGCAGAAGTGGTACTTATTGATCTACTCACATTTGCATGTTTTTGAACTGCTAAAAAGGTTGGCAGAAGCTGGGCCTAACAGCGAGAACTTACCCTGCTCCTTGGATTCAAACTGCCAATCTTCCAGTCAGCAAGTTCAGCAGCTCAGCGGTTGAACCCACTGCACTACCAGGGGGCGCAGTGGCTTATAAGGAGAGTAACAAAATTTCATTATATTGTTGAAGGCTTTCATGGCCTGAATCACTGGGTTGACTTTCTTTTTGTGAGAAGACCAAGGCAAAGAAGGCATTAAGTAGTTCTGCCTTTTCCCTACCCCCTGTCAGCATTGCCCCATCTTCTCCTCGAAGAGGCCCTATCGCCTCCTTGTTTTTCCTTTTTCTACTGGCATACGAAAAGAAGCCCTTTTTATTGTTTTTAATGTCCCTGGCAAGCCTGAGCTCGTTTTGTGCTTTAGCCTTGCGGACCTTTTCCCTACAGCTGTTGGCTATTAGTTTGAATTCTTCTTTGGTGATTTCTCCCTTTTTCCACTTCTTGTGCACGTCTCTTTTGTGTTTTAGCTCAGTTAGAAGTTCTTAGGACATCCATTCTGGCTTCTTTGCACTTGTCCAATTTTTTTGTCTTTGTTGGCATGGTTTGCAATTGCGCCTTGAGTATTTCACTCTTGAGAAATTCCCATCCATATGTAACTCCCTTGTCTTTTAGTATCTGTGTCTACGGAATGCTGCTCAGTGTTTTCTTCATTTTTTGGAAATCAGCTCCCCTAAAGTCCAAAATGCGGGTTAATAATAATAATAATGAATAATAACACTTTATTTGTACCCCGCTACCATCTCCCCAAGGGACTCAGTGCGGCTTACATGAGGCCGAGCCTGAACACAACAATACAAGCTATAATCACAACAATACAAGCAATTAAAATAAAAACATAAACAATAAACATATAACATTATCAATAAGACAACATACAATTAAAAACTGTGGGAAGGCCAAATGTAAAATTAATATTGGAAATAATGCTGAAACATGGACAAAAAGGGTTTGACTTGTATTAGTTTCAGCCTTCCTTTGTACCTCAAATTGCAGGAGCATTTCTTTTGTTTATATCTTAATTTATTTTACATATTCTTTATCTTATTAACATTTATTGCCCTGAAGATTAGGATGCGGAACATTGGTTTCAAACTACAGGAAAGGAGATTCCACCTGAACATTAGGAAGAACTTCCTGACTTGTGAGATTTGTTTGGTAGTGGAACTCTCCGCCCTGGAAAGTGGTGGAGACTCCTTCTTTGGAGGCTTTTAAACAGAGGCTGGATGCCATCTGTCAGGGGTGCTTTGAATGTGATTTCCCTGCTTCTTAGCAAGGGGTTGGACTGGATGGCCCACGAGGTCTCATCCAACTGTATGATTCTACTACTAAACTTCTAAGCAGATGATAATAAAAATATAGAAAATACAATAAAACTCCTGTGTTATCCCCCTCTACCATCACCCACCTACCCGACCACATTTCCCACTATATTATTATCTTTAGCCATGTGCACAGTTCTCTTACTTTTTAAATAATATTTGTATTGGTTTTATCTGTTTTTACCACACACACACACACACCCACACAGAGCCCATTTGATTTTTATTTCCTCTATTTTCTCCTCTTGTGCGTCTTTCTTCATTACACTCTCATAATTGGAATTGTACCTGTTCATATATGTAATTGTTCCAATTCTCCAACGTACACTTTTTTTCATCATTCCACCCCATGCAATGACTGCTTGTCCAGCTCAAATCATAATTTTAAACATAGAACAGGAGAAGTCAAGGGACCCCCCCTACCTGTATAAGTCAAATAGTCATAAAGAAGTCTTTATGACTATTTGACAAGAGTTTTGC